ATATATAAACACATATATATATACTTCTATCGCCTGTTGTCAATATCATATCGGAAGTTGTTCGAGTTGCAGCGACAGCGACAATTAAAAATGGCCGCTGCCACCGCCGACGTTGGAAATGCAGTGAACGATTGCTTCAGTATCGGTTCCACAGTGATCTGTACGACTTGTTTCAAGGAGGAGGTCGAGGGGGAGGTTCTCGCGTTTGATCATAACACAAAAATGCTTATATTGCGTATCCTTTTTCAAAACAAAACCAAATAACAACGGTCACTTGTCATATCAAAAGTGAAAGTTTTTCATTTTTTTTTCTTTCATTATCTTTAATATCTATGTGTTTTATATAATATATTTAGTTTTATATGAACACATATAGTTGTAATTAGCGAATAATTTAGTTGGTCACCTTACATCGTCACACAAAATCCGCGCCTTTGCCTTTCTTCTTTTCTTTTGCCCTATCAGAATGCCACTCAAAAACTTCAGGTGAACTGAGTGATGTTTATGTGATGAACTTATCGTTGTGCAGTAATGTGCAGGTGATCAAGGAATGTAATGGAAACTTCATTGATGATCCTCAAAAGCTCAACCTGGATCAGGTATATATTCAACCAACATATATCAGCCGAATTCGTATTTATTTATCAACTAACTTTTCCTATAGGTTAAAATGCGCCTTCGTAAAACAGTAGAAAGACGTCAAGACTATCTCAAGTCCAAAAATGCGGATGTTACACCAGAAGCACAAGAGCTCTATCGAGCGATAGCCAAACAACTTGGGGTGAGTCTGATACAGATATATACATATATATTTATATACATATTTATAAACCTTAAATAGCATAACAACTGTCTTAAATTTCTACTAATCCATCTTTGATCTATGACAGTACAATGAAGTTTCCTGGCAAGGAGCAAACATACAAATTTTGAATGAAGTTACCGTTTCGCCGCCATATAGGGTGGACAATGTTGTATCCAGTTCGGACAACGACAAGTCGTGCACGTATATTAAACGAATTGTAAGAAAAACGAATTCTGTAAGTTTGACAAATCTTAAAGCATTATCATGAATTGCAGATAAATCAGTTCTTCACCACGAGACCTTCGGCGGCTCAGGAAAATGCGCATGGTGCCAGCTCTTCGTCGGCATCGGTTTCGCCCACTTCCTCATCCTTATCATCAAGTAACGCAGCTTCAGGATCACCGGTTCCCGCTAACTAAAAATAAAAAGAAAAAACATATTTGCTTCAGAAATGAATTCAAATTGCATTGTAATTGGTTGGGGTTGCTGCGTAACGCTGACTACAAATTAGAACTAAGGTCTGTTTTTTTTTTTTTTATTTGAATAAAAAACATTAAAATTTAGTAAAAAGATATGTTCGATGGCAATTATGCCGATATTTAAGCGATTGTTCGCAGCTGGCTGCCGAGYGATTTACACGTTTTTCTGACGTAACATATTGCATAAATTTTCTAAAATCAACAAAAAAAAATAAAATTTCTGAATAAAGATATTTAAAATTCATGATAAAAACTTTCGTTAACATTATCCCTTAATGTGGAGAAAAAATACTAACATACTAACTATCCAGCAATCGATAACTTTTTGGTTTGCATGGCAAATTTTTATCGCCCGCCGCATTGTCGCTCAATGTGAATAGCAAATAATTCGTTTACGTTTATGTTTCGTATAAATAAAAACACATAAGCATGGAAGATGTACAAAAGCACAGCGTGCATACGCTTATATTTAGATCACTTAAACGCACACATGATCTGTTTGTTTCGAATCAGGGTAATTTGCCGGATATCGATGAGCGTTTGTAAGTACAAATGGCCATGCAATTGGCGCACAGCCATCAATAATAGTTTGGTAAATTTTTGTTTGCAGCGAGAAAATGACTCGTTCGATCAAGGCCAGGGATACTTATGGCTTGGTGATTGACCGCGCCATCAAATCGATGGACGATAAAAAAATGTCCGCCATACAAAACGGCAGCAGCGACAAGCCATTGGCCATTACAGACGGCAGCACCGGCCAGGCTGCAGCCGGCTCGGATTCGGGTGCAACCGGCGCAGAGACCGGCAGCATGGTTAGGTCTAATCGCGACAAGGACAAACCGATGGTGATTGGGAACACCTCGTTGGTGCGTGCCTCAATGCCAACAAGCAGCGGCAGTGGAGCTAGTAATGTGCAGCTAATACCAAAGAAAGCGCCTAGCATTCCCAAGCCCAAGTGGCATGCGCCGTGGAAACTATCGCGCGTCATCTCTGGCCACTTGGGCTGGGTGCGTTGCATAGCCGTAGAGCCGGGCAACGAGTGGTTTGCCACCGGCGCCGGTGATCGTGTCATTAAGATCTGGGACTTGGCCAGCGGCAAACTGAAGTTGTCGCTGACTGGCCATGTGAGCACGGTGCGTGGCGTCGCCGTCAGCGCAAAGCATCCGTATCTGTTCAGTTGCGGCGAGGATCGTCAGGTCAAGTGCTGGGATCTGGAGTACAACAAGGTTATCAGACACTATCACGGCCATCTGTCCGCTGTCTATTCGCTGGCACTGCATCCCACCATTGATGTGCTCGCCACTTCTGGCCGCGACTCAACGGCACGCATCTGGGATATGCGCACCAAGGCAAATGTCCACACACTGACGGGCCACACGAACACGGTAGCCAGCGTGGTGGCCCAGGCCACCAATCCCCAGATCATAACCGGCTCTCACGACTCCACCGTTCGTCTGTGGGATCTGGCTGCCGGCAAGAGCGTCTGCACGCTGACCAACCACAAGAAGTCCGTGCGCAGCATTGTCCTGCATCCGTCGCTCTACATGTTCGCCTCCGCCTCGCCGGACAACATCAAGCAGTGGCGCTGTCCCGAGGGCAACTTTGTGCAGAACATATCCGGACACACGGCCATTGTCAATTGCATGGCGGCCAATTCGGAGGGCGTGCTCGTCTCTGGCGGCGACAACGGCACCATGTTCTTCTGGGACTGGCGTACCGGCTACAATTTCCAGCGCTTCCAGGCGCCCGTCCAGCCCGGCTCCATGGACAGCGAGGCGGGCATCTTTGCCCTCTGCTTCGATCAGTCCGGCACACGTCTCATCACCGCCGAGGCGGACAAGACCATCAAGGTGTACAAACAGGATGACGAGGCCAGCGAGGAGACACATCCGATCAACTGGCGGCCCGATCTGCTCAAGCGTCGTAAATTCTAAGAGATTTCTAGTTCTTAAGCCAGCAAAAATAAATATTGTGCGGCTCACGTACAAATAATACGAAACGAATCGAAATCGAGTTTTGTCCAAATTTCAATTGACTTAAAGAGAGTTCAGGCTCAGGTTCAGATCGCTAGGAGCGATCGCTTAATACTGATTTTAAGCCATCCCCCTTGAAGGTTATAGTAAAATGTTACAGTAGAAATATAAGCCAATTCCCTCGTAATTCAGCGGATAACAAAGACATTGCCTTAAATTGTTGGTATTTTATTTGATTTTTTCACTTTGCTCTTCAACTTCTTTTTACACATAAATAATTTTAATTATCTCTGCATAAATAATAATAGCGTATATCTTCATATATATATATATGGGATTCTTTATATATATAATTTTTTTTTCTTTTTTTTTTGTGTTTTATATTTTTGCTAACGTTAACAAAGTAAAAGCACTAACTGTTAATTTAAAGTGTTTCTTTATTTTGTATTATCGTAGTT